GGACCGGCACAGGTAGACCTGCGTGGTAGAGGACTCTCACTCTTCTGTAGTTAGGCTTTCGCTCACTCGTGCTGACTCTTGGCTGGTGCGTTGAAACTGGACGTGTGATGCCGCCCTCAGATAGCGACGAGTGTGTCAGTGGTGAGTCCTGCTACAGTCATCTCTGTAGAACTGATTCGGGTGGCTATGAGTCAAGCTGCAGAACTGGCCGTCGACTGAGGCCCAACGGCTGTGGCTGCGACGGTAAAGGCGCTTAGGAAGCAAAGTCCAGGGAAGGTCGCATTCGAAGTTTTTGAGTTGACGCAGCATGACGAACATTTAACGGGTTGCTAAGGAACTACATTTCACAGACATTAAAAAAAACGAACCCATCAAAACAGTTACAAGTTTAACACAAACTAGATATCGAATGTTTACACCACCAACAAAACGACATGGCTGCACTCATAGACCCTCTCGACACCCTCACAAGTAGATGTGCACACGGACACACTAACATGTAGTTGTGCACACAAAGACAAACTAACATGTATATGTACACAAAGACACACTAACTTGCCGATGTACACACGGACACACTAACTTGCCGATGTACACAAAGACACACTAACTTGCCGATGTACACAATGACACACTAACAAGTAGATGTACACAAAGACACACTAACATGTAGATGTGCACAGGGACACACTAACATGAAGATGTACACAAAGACACACTAACTTGCCGATGTACACAAAGACACACTAACTTGCCGATGTACACAAAGACACACTAACTTGCCGATGTACACAAAGACACACTAACTTGCCGATGTACACAAAGACACACTAACTTGCCGATGTACACAAAGACACACTAACTTGCCGATGTATACAAAGACACACTAACTTGCCGATGTATACAAAGACACACTAACTTGCCGATGTACACACGGACACACTAACTTGTCGATGTACACACGGACACACTAACTTGTCGATGTACACACGGACACACTAACATGTATATGTACACAAAGACACACTAATATGTCGATGTACACAAAGATACACTAACATGTAGACGTACACAAAGACACACTAACATGTAGAGAAACCAGTCAGATTTCAAGGCAGGACACTCCACAGAGACTGCTCTCCTTGCTGTCTCAGAGCAACTCCACACTGCTAGAGCCGCCTCTCTCTCCTCTGTCCTCATCCTTCTGGACCTCTCTGCTGCATTTGACACGGTCAACCACGAGACCCTTATTTCCTCCCTTCAGGAACTTTGTGTCACAGGTTCTGCTCTCTCCCTTCTCTCGTCCTACCTCGACGGCTGCACCTACCGGGTCCAGCTTTCATCCAGGATATGGTCAAACCCTACATCCCAAACCGCATTCTCCGCTCTGCATCTGCAAAACTACTCGTTCCTCCCTCACTGAGAGAAAAAAACACTCAACTAGATCTCGACTCTTTGCTGTCCTTGTCCGGAGTGTGGGTGGAGGAGGGACTCTGACGCAGACTTCTCAGAAAACAAAAAGTCTTTAATAGTTAAAAGGCAAAATCAAAAGGCCAAGGGGCAAAAACAGCAGGCATGAAACTATGAACATCCACGACGATAGACAATGACGCGACAAGTGACACACTGCTTAAATACACAAGGGAGGTGCAGGTGATTGGACACAGGTGGAAACTATTAGACGATCACAGGGGATGACGGGACAAGGCAGGAAGTGAAGTTACCCGGGGACACGAGTGGCAGAAAACTACAAAATACAACAGGAAGTGAACCACACCGTGACAGTCCTTGCGCCGAAATGGTGAAATGCGCTCTCTAAAGACATCAGGACCACAGAGAGCCCTCGCATCTTCCGCCGCAAACTAAAGACACACCTCTTCAGACTCTACCTCGACTAAAGACTAACAAATTGTAGCACTTAAATTGTACTTGTAACATCACTCATCTATAGCAAAATGTAAATTGGCTTATTTGATGAAATTGCACTTTCTTGTTTCTTGTTCTCCTGAGTTTGTACCCTATGGTTGAATGCACTTATTGTACGTCGCTTTGGATAAAAGCGTCCGCTAAATGACATGTAATGTAATGTAATGTAGATGTACACAAAGACACACTAACAACATTAACATCTTAATAACTTTGTCTTCTTATCTTTCTTCTCAGGAACTCCAATTATTGTGTTATTATTGTCATTATTGCTATTTTTAATAATGTTATTATTATAATTGTTATTATTATTAAACGTTTCATCTGAACAATAAAAATGAAACCAAATGAATCCGTCTACTTTTCCTCAGAGCAAAGAGAATCACATGTTCTTTATTAGTTGTTGACGTGAATAAAGTGAAACAACAATGATGTTAAGTTAATGAGCGTTTGTGTATTTAATGACACACAAAGGTTTGAGTCGATTTCAATCGATAACTCACTTCCTCCTGTAATCAGACATCTCGTCTCAGAATAACAGCGGAAGAAGAGAATATTTAAAGTAGATGAACAGGTTTCCTATATGGAACATTTGGATTAAAACATGAATGTTGCTAAAAAATGGAAGTCAGGCAACTCAAAGCACAAACAAATTAAATTCTCTACAAATAAAACTAATTCAAACCCAGAGTTCAACTAATGTACTCGCTCCAATGTTAATGTAACTTGATCTCAACCATCTCTAGTCACTAAAATCAGCCAACGAATCAGAGGGTTCGTTCTGGATGAATCATTGAACCTGTAACACATCTTTGTTATTATGCTGTAATAGTGTAACGATCAGGCTGCAGGCAGAAGCACCACCCAAACGCAGAGTTTTGAAAACAAAAGGTAGTTTTAATGAATCCAAAATATCCAAAATCAAAAAACACAAGGAGGGAAAAAACCCAGACATAAAGACATGGAACTCACAGGCAAGATGAGGACAGACGAGCGATGAGAGGACCGTCCAAGAAAGCGCTTTTATTTCGCTATTTGGAGGTGTATG